CTGACCAAACATGGGGCGAAATTTGGCTGCTTTAGCATGGACCAGTCAAATTTTGATCCAGGTATGGCAGGCTAGTTGTACACAAGTCAATCTATCGATCGTCTTGTGTACAACCAGCCTGCCAGGTTTTTCTCGAGCAATCAGTGCCACTGGCAACACTGATTACTGTATTCTGACAGCAGGAAGGATGCCCCATCCACATTGAATGTATGGATGGGGTAATCAGATCGTTTTTGTTGAACAAAAAAAATGATCAATGTATGGGCTGTCTTACACACTATTTTATAATTGGCAAAGACTGGTAATTGGCCTAAAATGATTCACCTTTGCCCCATATATTTGTAACTGTGTGATTTAATTATTTTAAGGACAACTTTCAGTGTCCCAGAAATACACTAAAAATTGCCCTTTAATTTCACACCAGGTAATATTTTTATGTTTTCATGCAGATCAAAAACATTCTAGCATGAACCAGAGAATTCCACCAAGATTTCCTTCACAGATGAACACTCCAAACCACTGCAGTAGGAAAGTAAGTACACATGTGCTATGATAAAAGGGATGTTCAACAACACTTGATATTATCATTTAAACCAACTTTACAAAGACTCACACCATCCCCACTTCCCACCTAGGTGGGAGCCTTTGATGTAGATGTATCACCCTCCTAGGTAGGTTGCTAGGATGTATATAATCTAGTTTAGTATAGTGTGGCCTCTTGCTCAACATAACAGTTTTCTGCTTCACAGAAAGCTATGGTTGCTTAGTGAGAAGATCCCGTGTTGCTCACAGTGGTGCTGCTGTGATTGACTCCTCTGTATCCTCTGTATCCATGTGAACAGGAGTGACCCATTCAGATCAGCAGCATGAATATGAATACTCTTCCAATCAATTACAGCAAGCGGTGCCCCTGGGTACTAGTATTTATATTCAGTGAACACGTGATCTGGGTTCTTCTTCCTTTTCCTGTGAGAAGGGAGTTCCAGCCAGGGGAAAGTGGCTGCCTCCCTGGCTCATGCTGCCAGGAGGTCTCAGGTGGGCAACCCAAGGGCCAGATTGCTGAAGCCCAGGGTGCTTCTAAAAGCTGACTGGAGGAGGATGTCTAAAGATCCTGTCTTGTATCATGGAGGAAGGGGACTTGTAGCAAGGGCCTTGTGAGTACACACTGTTCTACATGGATGCTGAGACTTGTGCTATTTAACCCCCTCCCTTTGGGATCTGTATAGTCAGCTGCTGGGTGTAAGCTAGAGGGGACACAGGCTGGTGTCCAGAAGAGTAACTGTGCACTAAGTCTGCATATCTACAGAGGGACTTTGCTTCATTTTTATACAGTCTGCTACACAGTTTCACTTTGAGAAACTTGTGCTCAATTGTGCATAGTTTGATTTGGAGTATCCTACTATATCCTTTCCCTATCCCAGTTCAAAAAAAACCCCAAATAAAACAACAAAAAAACCACAACCCCTAGACTGATCATTGTAGTAACAAGCAGACGTTGTGTGCACCTGGCTAAGAAAATGTGGTGTGCTTGGCTGTGGGAGGAAGTCTAGGGGAAAGCCTGGGCAAGAAGCAAGCAGCTCCTGCAGGGGTAGCACTACATGTGGGGGCTCATCCGTGATTATTTCCCCTGGATACTGCAGCAGTTGCTACTGGCAACAGCCTGAGGATAAAGGACTGTCTGTGTTACTGTATGGATTGCAGGATGGCAATCAGAATAAAAGACTGTCATGCCGTGGTAGTACTACATCAGAGAGAGTTTTCAGTGCAAGAGCATTTCCCAAGGATGGCAAAGAAAGAGTTAAAGTGTTACTAAACCCAGAACCCTGTATGCACTATATCTGGTCCCCCACAGTACACAGAACATGGAAATGTAATTTTTTTAGTAAATATAAACTGTTATATACATTTTCTCATCAGCAATTAGAGCAGTCTTGTGACTTCTATCAGTGTCCAGCTGAGCACTGGTTAAAGCTTGTAGGAGGAGTTTTCTCTAGGAGGATGTGGAACCCCTGACTTCTGTCTGGACAGTGCTGATTGATCCTGTGCTGATCACATGCACTTTCCCCCCCCAAAAAAAAACTCTCTAGCAATACACACCAAATTGAATATGTGCAATGTCTCCACCCACACGATATGTCTTATGAGGAGATAAGAGGGGGACACTATAAAAAGCGGAGGATCAGAGAAGTCAGGATCAAATCGCATTTTTACACAATGCAGAGGATTAACCCCGTAGGTTCCACAGTGAGTATGACAAGCATGCTTTACTGCATATACAGACTGATTTTACTTTTGTGGGTTTAGAAAAACTTTAACTCAGCTGGAGCTATCGTTTGCATTACAACATGGACTGATAACTGCAACGCAAGTATGTCAGCATGGATTGATTGTACTGGGATAGTTGACAGCAGGGAAGCAGTTAACTGGAAAAATTGTGTGCTCAAGACGGGAAGACATGTCACTATCTACATATTGACAGGGGTTACCTCAGGACTGTGTGAGTTTGCTGCAGGACAGTATGTTACACTCTACATGTCAGCATGGCTTGGTAATGTTGAAGTAACAGGCAGTGGTGGAAGAGTGAGTGGTGAAGTGAGCACCAGAAACTTCTGCGAGAAGGGAGAGGGAGGTACAGCCACGATGTATGTCACTCATATTGCAGCATGGTCTGGCAATGGCAGCAATTCGGCATGCATGGACTGTCACTGCTGGAGTGGAGTGTGGTGGTGAAAGAGTTGACTCGGAACACAGGAAAAGGAGCGCTCGAGTGCAATGAGAGGAAATTGTGTGCACCTGTGGCTAAGGAAAAGTGGTGTGCTTGGCTTCGGGAGGAAATGTAGGGGAAAGCCTGGGCAAGACACAAGTGGCTCCTGAAGGGGTAGTGCTACATAGAGATTTGTCTGGGATGATGATTTACAGAAAATCCTATATCTGTATACAGTTTGGGGATATATAACTGGCTACAGGGTCGGGAGAGCTGGTTGCATGTTTGCACAGGAATATAGAGATGCATTTGGAGCTGCACAGAAAAGCTGAGGTCAATAGGTGAATGGATGATGAGGTATAGTTATATAGCTGCAAAGGGTCCAAGAAGGTGAATATATGACTACACTTATGGAAGGGGTAGATATATGAAATGAGCCCCCAAGTAGTGTGGCAGGCAAACATTTTCATCTCAGGGTCTGGTCCTTGGTGAAGAGTGGGGTGAAAATGGTTAGGCAACGGTCACTTTAGTCTTTTCTAACTTTTATTGCTATCAGATACATATTCATAACTCATTGACCGTCCTACCTACTCTGATTACTGGAACATCCTTCACAGTAAGGCAGAAGCAGTCAACCCACTGAGCTTAAGGAAAATCTGTAGAGCCTAGAAAAAAGGTTTAAAAAAATGTTCAAGCTGGATACAGACTAGCAGCTAACCATACTAAATTTAATTAGGGGCAAACTTGGGGCAGAGTCCCTACATATTTTTTTAGAGGTAAGAGAGTGCATGAGGAAATAGATGTGATGAGAACTATCCAAAGCAGAGAGAGAAGGGCCTTTTCCATCTTGGGTGCTAGAAGACCTTGTTCCTTTAATAGTATACAACCATTTCAAATTATCCAGGCTGTTTATTTGAGACATATTTTTACCCAGCTAGCTGTTTAATAATGTTTTTTTTTTGTCTTGGCAGAATTACGAATCAGAAAGTAAAATGAAGGATTTGATTCCATTTCAAGGTATACAATTACACTGCAACCAAGTACATATTGATATTTCACATGACAACATGTTTGGATACTCTAATTGGATGGATGAAATTTGATTTATTTTTTAAAGTAGTTGATGGGAGACTGAGATGAGGAGGGTGGCCTCTCTTGCTTCTCCAACCCAAGCTCCTTTTAAGATGATAGGGTAGGGCAGGGTTGATGGAATGGCACAAATACCAATGGGAAGTTGTAGTGATGACTGGAGCTCAAAAGACCAGCAGATGTGAATTTCCAGAATGCAACAGTCATGGCAACTGGGACAATCCTCTGTTTTCATAATTGTTTCCTTGTTTCCCTATTGGGGACAATTTCCTCACTTCCTGACAATGCCTTCTAGCCCAAGTGACAAACACACCTGTAATTTCTTGTACAGAGACCACTAGGACATGAAGTTAAAGAAAATCATTGTGATGGGGTCCCAGACAGGAATGAAAGAAAATAATGAAAACAAAGAAAACAATTATGAAAATATACCCAGATATAGATACACCCCATAAAAATATCCACCACAAGAACTCAATAATTCCCAATTATTACAAATGGGACATAAACTTAAAAATAGAGTTTTGCCTTTAGTTATACTTTAAAAAATGTACACTAAGACCTTTATCCTGCCTCTAAATTATTGCATTTGTTATTTTAAAAGTCTATATAGGTCCATATAGTCCATATAAAGTACATGTAAAGGAAATGTAGTGGTGTAGAAAAAGAATTGTAGGTTCAACCAATATAATTTTTTGCATATTAAAGATCATGTAAACCCTGTAAACCCAACATTTTATATTCCTGATATTCCTGATATGTTCCTGCTGTGCCATGTATTTGTATAAAAAAGTATCCTGTTCTCTTTGTATTGCCTCCTTTGTGTGAAGTTCCTGGTGTTCCTTTCAGTCCCTCTGCTTTCCTATTAACTACTTGCCCTCCTGAGGATTTACCCCCCTTCCTGACCAGGCCATCTTTTGCGTTACTGTGCTGCGTTACTTTAACTAACAATTGTGTGGTCATGCAACGCTGCACCCAAATGAAATTTACGTACTTTTTTTTCCCACGAAAAAAATTTTTTTTAGTGGTATTTGATCACCTGTGCGGTTTTTATTTTTTGCGCTATAAAAAAAAAAGACCAACAATTTTGAGAAATAAACAATATTTTTTACTTTTTGCTATTAAACATTTCCAGTAAAAATTTAAAAAATCAAATTTTGTCATAAATTTACACCAAAATGTATTTCTGCTACATGTCTTTGCTAAAAAAAATCCCAATACATGTAAATTAATTGGTTTACATCGGTGTTTCTCAACTCCAGTCCTCATGGACCCCCAACAGGTCATGTTTTCAGGATTTCCATTATTTTGCACAGGTGATTTGATCAGTTTCACTGCCTTAGTAATTACCACAGCTGTTTCATCTGAGGGAAATCCTGAAAACATGACCTGTTGGGGGTCCATGAGGACTGGAGTTGAGAAACACTGGTTTACATAAACGTTATAGTGTTTACAAATGGCGGTATATATACTGGAATTATTTATTTTATTATTATTTTTACTAGCAATGGCAGCGATCAGCGACTTATAGCGGGACTGCGGTGGGCATTCTGCCACTGGGGGGAACTGACTTGGTGTCACTGACATCCCCAGTAACACCAATACAGTAATCATTGCTAAAAAAAGCACTAACACTGTACTAATGGCACTAAGCAGGAAGGGGTTAACATGAGGGGCGATCAAAGGGTTAGCTGTGTGCTGGTAGTATTTTACTATGGGTCTGTGTCAGTGTGCTTCACTGTAATCACACTGCTCTGGATGGCTGTGCTGTGCACAGCCATCCAGAGCAGTGTGCCCGAGCTGACAGGGAGGGGAACTATTAGTAAACAAAACAGTCCTTCTCCCCATCAGAGATCTTTGGAAATCACCAGGCGCTGCTGAGAAATTGACAGCCGCAGCCTTGTGATTTTGCACATAGTATTTCTGCTATAGAACGGACCAGAAGTGGTTAAAAGCTGACCACGCTAGGCAGGAGAGCACATTGTGGTCAGTTCTCTAGCTGTATTTCTATTTTAAACTGAATAGATTGTTTTACAAGTTGAGGGTTTTTATATACTTTAATTTTTCATAGTCTCTGTAACTGAGGGGTGTAGCATGGGGGATTCCTTTGCCTACATATTTTGTGCTAAATGGCGTCCTTCTTGTCATCTCTAAGAAGGAAAATCTGGAAGGCATAATCTCCAACTAGAGAATATACCTGGATACAAGCTGCATGTGCCCAACAACCCAAGCCAAAAAGTCTGTTGACACAGGAGATAACAGCGCTGAAGTCCACCCATCCTGACAATATTATTTGTATTTTAGAATGTTATCAATTTCTATTTCACAAGCTTGGTAATAGTTCTGCATAATACAATTATACAGTAATTATATATAGTTCATATCCATTTATTATAGGTCCTCCAGTAGATCGAAGTTTAAAACCAGAAAAACTCTGTCAAGGCAAAGGTATTTTGTTTCATAACCATATGTAACATAATATACTTCACAGATAAGATGCAGAAACTAATAGGCTGTTATTTTGCTGCCAAATGCCTGAAAATAAGGCCTCATGCACACTGGACGTTTTTGACGCTGCTCTTAGGGGTGCCTGGTGTTTTTTTTTTCTGCCTATAAACACCACTTTATGTTAGCCTATATGTCCATGCACACATAGGTATTAAGAGGAGTTTAGAGGCAGATAAAGCAACTTCCAGTGCGTCCATGAGCAGCAGAGTTTTGGCAAAAAAATGCTTGCGGCCTGTAAATGCATCTAAACACGTCAGAGTGCTAGGCGCATTTAGCACGTGAGCGTTAATTCATCTCAATAGCCAGAATAAATTATCATTCTGGTCAATGAAACGAATGAACACCCAAGCACTTGAGGTGCCTAAATGTATTAAATGCGTTTTAAAAGCATCAAGCATTTTTTCTGCCAAAACATCTCTGCCAAGAGGAAAGGCATCTAGGAGAGGCTGCAGTGTGCGGGAGGCCTAAACTGTGCTATATTTTGTTTTTTCAGTGCTAAGCATGTACTAACCTGCAGGGGTGCCTGTAAAAGAAGATCTGCTAATAATTAGGGCTAATTAACACCTGTCAGCCTTGGTGCGCTGCATTAATGCCTGTGCATTAGGTAGTTTTAATGCAGACCATTTTTTTAATGGGCTTCCAATGCACCAGAGAGAACAATAAAACATACCTACATTATTTTTTCTGATACAGCACACTACATCACAGGTGTATTGGGGTGCCACACAACGAACAAACACATGTAACATGCATTACAGCAACACAATTGTGTGCCCTAAATTTAAATATGATTTGGAATGCTCTCCCATTTTCTTTCCTCACTACTAACTTCTCCATTTTCAACATACCATCAGATGATTTCATTAATCCCTATACAGTATGTATATATGCGGAACTCCAAACAGTTCTGTCCCCAGAACAAAGTCACAAAATTATATAATTTTCACACTGATCCTCAATGTGCAATAAATATTAAGAAATGTGCTAGAAAATACTGACTAGAATATATTATATCTTATAAATGCCCCTTTAACTGGCGGAATCCCACTCCTCAGTGAGTCATTCGAATACACGGAGCACTTAATTGCCCACATCAATGAAATGTCAGGCTGCATTTACCCTAGGTTCACATCTGTGCGGGTGGTGCCGCTGTGGATCCACACGAAAATCTGTGCAGCCGCACAGAGAAATGCGGACCCGCGGGAGGGTGCCATTAGTTCTAATGGCATGCCGCCCGTACTGGGAACCGAGGTTTCCGTGCGGGCTACGTTTTCAAAAGACATGTAGGGACTTGTTCCCTGCGTGTCATGGGCACGGGAGTCCATTCAAATGAATGGGCTCTCGTGCCCGTGTAAAACGCAGCCCGCACAGCCACATATATGTGAACCGAGGGGTCAGAAAACATGGAATAACTGGGTAGACTTTCAGCTGAACCCAGATTACAGGGACATCATGCATTTTATACTGCACCCAGTGGCAAGTCAGTAGCCAGGGGCATGAAGACTACCTACCCCTGCCCCCTAACCTTTACCCTCTTTTTTCACTCCTACACAGAAGCTAGCAGGTACCCCTCCATTATCACTTTCTTCCACACCTAAGTCGACTCTTCCTTTTAATACCTCAGCCTACCATCTTAGAAACCTGTTATTCATACAATCCCTATTCCCTTAAAAACCTGAATAAGTAATATTATTCAAAAAAACACATCTTATATACTCTCAGGTGCAGCATGTATTTCTTCTCTTAACCCAGAAAGTTTAAACTTCTTCATTCTCTGCCTAATGTCCCCCTTTTATCAATGTCCACTTATATGGTTGTCCTGTACACCTAAAACTTCTCATGATGAAGTTAAATAAATAATTACAAAAATTAGATTTGATTAAAAACTATATTACATATATAATTGCTACATAAGTCATCTTGATATATTATGTTCCTAAAAATTCCTATGCATTTTAGCCAGATTTTATATAAACCTGCCAAAAGAATAGAAATTAACAGAGAAACAATCTCAAGTTTTTAAACAGGATTTTGCCTATCGCTTATTGCTTGTTCCTGTACTTGGCATACTTCCTACAGAAAAGTCTACACAGGGCTTGTAATGAAAGTACACTGCTGCTGTAGACACTTCCTCAAAACATGAAAAAAGAGGAAGTTGGGCTAGAATCCGTAGAGGAAGTGAGACTCAAAGTTATTATGGGGTTAGCAGTTAGAGTTTTGTAGACATGGTCCTGATTTATGATAGGGAAGTGTTGGTTAAACTAATCTAACGTATCTTGTGATTTACTACTCTGTGTCCCTATCTTCATCTCCCAGCCATAGGAAGCTTTGGTCAAAGACTGAGATTTCTCTTAATTTTTGGATGAGATATTCTGTAATTAGAGAGCATGTTAGAGTAAACCTAAGAAGTGCCAACAAAAGTGCTTGGTGTATCTTATATGGATGCCCATTGCATGGCTAGGGAAACATGGAGATTGTCATTGCAATGGTAATAGAAGATTGACAGCAGAAAAAGATGGTCCATTGAGTCTGCCATATATATATATATATATATATATATATATATATATACACACAGTTGTGTTCAAAATAATAGCAGTGTGTTGAAAAAAGTGAATAAAGCTCAAAATCCTTCTAATAGCTTTTATTTCCATACACACAAATGCATTGGGAACACTGCACATTCTATTCCAAATCAAAACATGAAGAAAAATATATCAAATTTGTGTTGTTCCTCTAAAAAAATTGAAGAAAAGTGAATATTAGACTGTTCAAAAAAAATAGCAGTGTTTGTATTCTTCTTTACAAACTCAAACATTCACTATATAAACTGAAAAATGTTTGAAGATTTTGCTTTCCTTTGAATCACTTAATGAATATTTAGTTGTATTAGCACTGTTTCTGAGAACTGCTGTACATCTGTGTTGCATGGAGTCACCCAACTTCTGGCCCCTGTGAACAGGTATTCCAGCCCAGGATGATTGGACTACATTCCACAGTTCTTCTCTATTTCTTGGTTTTGCCTCAGAAACTGCATTTCTGAAGTCACCCCACAAGTTTTCTATTGGATTAAGATCCAGGGATTGGGCTGGCCACTCCATAACGTCAATCTTGTTGGTCTGGAACCAAGATGTTGCACGTTTACTGGTGTGTTTGGGGTCGTTGTCTTGTTGGAACACCCATTTCAAGGGCATTTCCTCTTCAGCATAAGGCAGCATGACCTCTTCAAGTATTCTGATGTATTCAAACTGATCCATGATCCCTGGTATGCGATACATAGGCCCAACACCGTAGTATGAGAAACATCCCCATATCATGATGCTTGCACAACCATGCTTCACTGTCTTCACAGTGTACTGTGGCTTGAATTCAGTGTTTGGGGGTCGTCTGACAAACTGTCTTCGGCCACTAGACCCAAAAAGAACAATCTTACTTTCATCAGTCCACAAAATGTTGCGCCATTTCTCTTTAGGCCAGTCAATGTGCTCTTTGGCAAATTATAACCTCTTCAGCACATGTGTCTTTTTCAACAGTGGGACTTTGCGGGGGCTTCTTGCAGATAGCTTGGCTTCACATAGGTGTCTTCTAATTGTAACAGTACTCACAGGTAACTTTAGACCTTCTTTGATCTTCCTGGAGCTGATTGTTGGCTGAGTCCTTGCCATTTCGGCTATTCTTCTATCCATTCGAATGGTAGCTTTTCGCTTTCTTCCACGTCTTTCAGGTTTTGGTTGCCATTTTAAAGCAGTTGCGATCATTTTAGCTGAGCAGCCTATCATTTTCTGCACTTCTTTGTATATTTTCCCCTCTCCAATCAACTTTTTAATCAAGGTACGCTGTTCTTCTGAACAATGTCTGGAACGACCCATTTTCCTCAATTTCAGAGAGAAATGCACTGTAACCAGCATGTACAACATTTGCTGCCTTCCTTCCTTAAACAAGGGCAATAATTGCCACCTGTTTTTCAAAGAATGAATGACCTCACTAATAGAACTCCACACTGCTATTATTTTGAACATGCCCCTTTCAATTAGTGATTCAATTACACAGAATCAGCAGCATGCATGTCATGACTGTTGGGTCTGTTGGATTTCTATTACTCTACTACACCTGCTAGTACATTATTTGCCATGTAGAAATATCATTTCTACCAAAAACAGTGATTGATC